TAGATTCTATAACTAAAAATAGACTCAAATTACAAATAAGCAATGGAAGAGCTTCTATTTATATCAATGCGCCAAATACATGCTAATACTATAAAGATGCGCTGAAGGGATTTTAATCTTATTACAAGTAGGAAGATCTAACCGGAAATTGGGGAAAGTCCTGTGGGAACGATTTTGTGAAGGGTGGGGGCGCTAAATCTTGTCTTGCCCCGGGTCCGGTGAACCCACGCTACTCCCACTGAAACAGCCGTGTTAAAAAATAACAGTTGTTCTCAGCCGTCTCCTTTGTTACTGCTGTGAATGTGCCAGATAATGATTGTTAAAACTTGCCAAGTCGAGTGAGAATTGACGAAATTTTATAATTTGCGACACGAAATCGATTATTTTTTAAGAATTGAAAATACTGGCTGTAAAATGTGACGATCAAAACGGGATCATGTATTCGGATTTCACAAGCTGTATTGAATTACTTTAATGACTATTTTACTGTAAAACAAAAAATAGCTAAAATAGGTGCAATTATCATAGGTTAGGTTACGACAAGTCCGCTAAAAAGCTATGTCGTAACTGTATAATGCTCACATCTTAACATATTCGAGAAGAAATAAATCAATGTGTTGGCATTAAAATTTCCATTTTTCACTGAAAGATATTTTTTTAAAATGACATGTTAGACTTGTGGTACCAAATTATAAATACCCTAGAATTCTCGAGAAATTGGACGGCGTCATCGGGTGGTAGAGAGTTTGACTGCAGGCCGTATCATACTCCTAGGTCGGATAGACAGGTGAACTCTACTTCCCCTACCCATGGATCACCAAATCAAAAGGGATCCAAGAAATCACTCCAATGTAAATTATCTTTAGGACCGGACTTAAACATCCTTTTATTTTAAACAAGCGAACTTAACTCACTTGAGTTTAAGAGAGGGCTGGTGTATAGATCGCTGTGTCCAGAGGGACTAGACTGGCCATTTTGTGGCCAGCTCAAGTTACGCTGACATCACTTCCTACTTACGTGCTCCGTCACAGCTACCTTCAGGCGCGTCTGCCTGTTGCTTATATCGTCGCTTGTTACTGTGTGTTACTCCAGGGAATGAAATCTGATTTATATGAGTTCTTAAGTTTCTACTTATTTTTTTAACGAATTTACTAATCTGCTGTATAATAAAACGAATATGAAAACCTTTCTAATAGCAAGCTTTTAAATGCACTGAAAATAAGTAAAATAAAACTAATATACTCTCTTTCATAAGAGCTTTGGTCTCTCGTGAGATCTTTTTAACATATTTTTGCAACAAAAGCTTTTATTTTCTTAAATTTTCGGTGCAATTAACTGCTTGCTATTAGAAACTTTTTTTTTAATTCATAATCTGTGTCTACCAATGCTGCAACTAAAAATATTTGCTCTAAAATACTATATGACGACAGTTTACAGACAACAGCAACCAGCTCCAGTAGATCTTGTTATCTCCCCTTAGTTTCAAATCATTTAATAACTATATTATCTGCCCCCAATAGCCTTCACTAGATCAACAGGCTCTACGATTGTAAACATTCTCGTGAACCACAGCTTACCAGACTGTTATGATGATCGCGTCTAGCTATTTATCTTCCCTTATATTATTGAATATAGTAGTCTATTGAGTAATTTAATTGTGTTATCTCCCCTTAGTTTTAAAATAGTTTAATTAATTGTTAATGACTAATGACTAGTTAAATATCTAATTAAATTTTAAAAAATTGATAGGCTTTTATTGTCATCAAAGTGGAACGTGTCTGGAAAATTTGAACGAAATCACTGCATTGAAAGTGTATCAAATTTCAGTTACGAGTTTTGCCATAAACTAACAAATAAACAAACAAATAGACGTTGCGAACTAAATAAATGTTTGTAATAAAAATAAAATAACAGCAGCTTCCATTTTGTAGGCTAATGACATGGAATTTGAATTTCGAAATGAGGTCGAATTGATTTTAAAAACGTGAAAATCAGTAGGACCATGTAAGAGTGTTTTTGTATTTTAATTTTCACAATGATATATTTCTCTTCATTATTTTATTTAACAGAAAATACTTCTCGATACCGTGCTGTGAGTTTTATTTTTCTTTATCGTCCTGGCTTTTGTTCCTCTTCTGTTTTATCTCTTTCCTATCTTTTATTTGGGTCAATGTCTCTGGTGTGATCCATTATTTTCTTTCAATCTTTTCCATTCCCGATACGTCAGTGCATGCTGAATTTCTAGGCCCAGTTTCTTATACCAGACTGGAGATTGTTTCATACCTATTTATACAGCATAATTAAAGACTGTAAATATTTGGCCAATGCATATGCATGTTATGCCTTTCCTAAGGTCCTAAAGCCATCGGATCTTGCTCTCTCCACATTTTTTCTCTGTTACTTAGGAGATTCAGTCTTGAACGATCCTACTGGCAGAAATATTTTTCTGGTGAGTGGTAGAAATGTGATCCCTCGCCAGTTTTCAGTTTTTTATTCCCTATATTGGCATCTTGACTGTTATACCACATCTAGCCAGTAGTCTAAAAGACATGCTAATAATAATGGAGTAGAGCTGAAAGGAAATATTAACAAAATCAAAATTATTTACCGAAATGAAACTAGCTAAGAACACTTTAAAATAACCACACACAAACAGATGCAGTAAAAGAATAAATATATTTATTCAGCATTGTACATAATGGAGGCGACATTAAAAGGTGTCACTGGTAAAAGTATATATTTTCTATATGAATATTATTTTTTTAATTTTGTACGAGGCGGTGGTGGACGTGATACAGGATTCTTCCCTCCCCCCCCCCCAAATGATGCCTGAAAGAAACGATTGGCACAGGACGGAGGATTCTGGTTGGCGGCCCTTACCCCATCAGTGGTGACATGCAGTGATGTTGACCTCTAAAGCCAAGCGGGCGTTCGCAACTAGGCAAATAACATAGTGACCAAAGAGAATCTCATCCAGGACAAAAAGCAGACTTTTCAAAGAAAGTCTTCCGCGCCGTTCCGCCCCCGATCGAATTTGAATTTATATAGAAAATATATGCTTTTGACACCCCCCCCCCCCAGAGAAAAAAGTCAGAAGGAAACACTGTAAGTGCCTGCGATTGTGTTGGGCATCCATTGAAACAACATCATTTGCCAAGATAGATTACTAATAGAAATGGAAATGGAAGCCGTTTCCTAAATAATCGAAAAAAAGAGTGCATTTGGGTGCAAAGGGTGAGACAGTGGCGGAACTAGAAAAAAAAGGCTCCCCCGCAAAGAAAAGATTAGGGCCCCCTATATATATATATATAAATAAATAAATATATATATATATATATATATATATATATATATATATATATATATATATATATATATATATATATATATATATATATATATATATATATATATATATTCATTTATTTATTTATTTATTTATTTATTTATTTATTTATAAATATATCCTAACTGAGTAATTTAGTCTACTTCAGGGGTCGGCAACCTTTTGAAGCGGAAGAGCCAAAAGTTACAATTTTCAAAATTTCCCTGATTTTAAAGAGCCACTAACATTTTTTTATTTCAAAATTTTTATTTTTTTATTAAGATTATTAGTATTTGTGCAAGGAGCTGGAGAGCCGCATCTTGATATCAAAAGAGCCGCATGCGGCTCGCGAGCCACAGGTTGCCGACCCCTGGTCTACTTCATTGCAATAAATAACCATTCTGAGAGATCAAACCAGAAAAAAATTTAGTCCAAACTCATCTAGCTGTGCGAAATACTCATTTAAACGCTGGTCAAAAATATATAAAGACGTTAGCTTGATTCGTGAATGGTTTCTCGCGTTATGTTTATTTTTTTCATTTTTGGCTTTTATAATATCAATTTTGAAAACATTGATTTGTATATCTATATTATTGTATAGTACGTCTTATTTAAGTAGCAATTCAGAGAATCAATTGCTTTTTAATATACATAGTACAAAACTATTTAAATGAGCTTCGTGGGCATCCCTATTTTAAAGAAGGGCAGTAAGTCATGGAAGTAGTGTGAATGTTTACCTACCTTTCAAACTATAGCTCTTGTAGATTTTAAAATATTTTTCTACGCAACAATCTCTGCTATAGTAGATCTGTTGTTTTTTGAAAAAAAAATTCAATGTTTTTTGGTAGGAACTGGGCCCCTAAACGTCCTGGCCCCCCCCCCCCCCGCATTGCGGGGTCTGGCGGTATGGTAGTTCCGCCCCTGGGGTGAGACCAGATGATATCACAGGAATGGCGGTGTATTGGATGCCGTAAGGGAAAAGAAGACAGCGAAGGCCTACAGAGACGTGGGTTAAAAACAACTGGCAAGAGTCGCACTAACATGTTGCCATAGATCGGCAGATGGGGAAAGAAATTTCAGTGGCGGTCCCATGATAATATGGCTCCTTCAATATTGTTTGAATTAATTGGCAGGTTTGCTTTTTGTTAATATAGCGGTGCTACATTTGTCTTGAATGCTTAAGTGTTTTTAGACCAGCATTTTATCTAATTTACTTAATCCTAACACCTACCATCTACCTATACATTATTTCTCATATTTTATCATTGTACGTGCATTGAAAAAACTTGTTATAGATTTAATTGAAGTTTGTATACTATCAAATAATGATGCGATATGCTCAAAGACATGTGGGTTATCTTTCAGGGTTAAAATATATTTCTATTTCGGGAACGGTAGACTTACTACAGGTGTCCGCCCCCCCCCCCCCCCCCCACACACACACACATTGCAGAGAGATGTCTGAAATAAACACTGAAGACATGATGGACGTTATAAAGATTAAGCCTATACATGATTCTTTGATACTGATGATTATGTATAAAAAAACTTACGATCATAACAAATCGCCCGTAAGTCATAATCCAGATGTCGTAAATTATTCACTTTTGAATCATTTTGATAGCGATGCTTAGCCCAGTTAATGTTTGCTGGAATTCGGTGATTAGTATGCCCAGTTGTTTACTTTGATAGTTGATCGTTCAACTCACGATCTAGATCTAGAATCTAGATCTTACCAACTTACTACTAAAGAAAAGATATAATCTAGATTCTATAACTGATTGCTTTCTAGATCTAGCTCAAAACACATAATTGGTACTTTGAAAAAACAAAATAAACAACACCACTTTAACTCATAATTATCTGGGCGCTTAATATTGCTGGTTAAACACTAAAGTAAACAGTGGTTATTTGCCTATTTGCCATTTGGTTATTGTTAGGCCAGACGCTGACAAGACTAAGAAGAAGTAGAGATCTAGATTTCTAGATCTAGACTCTCTAGAGTCTAGTAATAGTAAGAAGTTAGAGACTGTTAGAACTAAGGAAGACTCTCAGTGACTGATTTTTTTTAGCCACTGAGTGAGTCAGTCAGTATCTCTGATGTCGTGTATTGTAGTACACCACTACACTGTAGTAATCCATGGCCTAAACTCCTACTAATTATAGTAATTAAGTAAATTAACTATTGAAACGATACTCTGCCTGGTCCTGAGTCTACCTGCTGTCATTTAATGCTGGTCACCCCACCCCCTTGCCTTACATTACCATTCTGAATTCAGATTAATTTCCAACCCCACCTTACTTTTTAGCGCAATTTCCATTCTGGAGAATTGCGTTTATTAACCCGTCATTTCTGGATGGATGGATGGATGGATGGATGAATGTGTGTCTGCAGCTTTAAGTCGTATCTCCTCCTCAACGAAGCAATATCGATGACTAGTTCCAAAAGCAATTATGTTAAGCAAGTTACGAGGATGAACATAGGCCATAAAAATTCCGGGTTTCTTTCATGGATTTCCCAGAAAAGCCAAAAAATCTCGAAAAAAAGCAGTTTTTGGCCCATATCTCGGCAACCAGACCACTTAGCGACTTGAAACATGTACCAATCGATTCCTGTCATAATTTAGAACAATATTGCCGAAGAAAGTTTTCAAAAATATTCTCTCGTTCGGTCACAAATTTTAAAATTACATAAACACCTACAAACCGATTGTTCTTCTAGCTTGAACGCACCCCAACATTATACGTCAGAGCTATTTTTAGATAACATAAGGAAATTGCGCACAAATGTCACTAGACTTTTTTAATTAACTTGTTTACCACTGTATTTATTATTTATTAGATTACAATTTAGTGAATTACACCTGTCCACAAACTAGACTAAATAAAGAATGGCCCTTGTCAATGTAAATTTACCTCTATAGGCCCCTAGCTAAAGTTATTAATTAGTTAATATACTGTCGTACTCTAAACCTAAAAAGTTCCTTTTTGAACCTTATGGGCCAAGTTCACCTGATAGTGACCTCGGCATTATATGAAAGGATAGTCACGATAGTGTGGTCAGCCACCTTTACTTTCCCTGAGCTGGATGGACTCAGTGACATTCTATTAACTCGAACCCAGATTTGAACTCGAGACTTTGGGGGGTTAGCAACTAAATTAACTAAAAAATTATTTCTTTTTATCTGTTTTTTATAGTCAGTAGGCCTACACAAGCAAATGTTAGGTCTCTATTAACTTAATAATATTTTGTTTTGACAACTTCATTTTGATAAATGCAAGGTCGGAAAGAAAAAATTATATGTTAATACAATTTTTAAAAATATGGGGCCTGCCATAACTAATTTGTTCTTATATTTCTATAATTAATAATGAAACAATAATGGAATCTTCTAAAAAAAAAAGGGACGATATTTTGAGTCGTCCCCGGTCAGAACGTCCCCCGTCGTGGCCTCAACCAACCGGCAGGCTTGTTGCATTGAGTTAAATATAAACTCAAAACAATAATATAAACATTCACCTCCCGCATTGACAATGACAAAATCTGATCCCAAATCATATGAGGGGGGTGTGTATGTCTTGACCTCCGCCGAACCCCTGTGACTGACTCACCAAACCCTGGGCTTGATCAAATCAAGGTTAAGAACCACTGGCTAAGACAGTCATAAAGTCATTGAATGACTATAACAACTAGCGCAACAGTTACAAATGCATAGCATACGTACATTATTTCAGTGTTAAAGTATTTATGTTCAGGTTTTGAATTAGCTCTAATTAATATTTTTTAGAGGCAAAACATGGGAAGGCATAAAGAAAAAAGTAAAAAACATAAGAAAGATTATGAATATCATCACAAAAAAAGCAAAAAAAGGTAATTTTATTTGGTCTTATTTTCTTAATTAGTGTCAGGTTATTTGCTAAATGGCTGATTTTAACAGATCATTATTTGCTAACAATTAATTAACTTTAGTTAAAATGTCTTTACCATTGTGCTTAAAAAGACAAGGGCAGATATAGTGAATTTATGTATAATTAATTTCAGTTTAGCCAGTTTTTTTAGACATTTTTAGGTTTTCAGTCAAAGACTACATGGTTTTGCTTAGGCTTTTAAAAAATATTGTTGTAATCCTTATGTGGGTCTAAAGTGAACATTGTTGGTGTATAATAAAATTTGTCCTCACTAATTATGCAGGCACAGATCTGACAGTGAGATGTCTGATTCTGACAAGTCTGATTCCTCCTCGGGATCATCTTCCCCTAAAAATTCGAAGAAACGCCATCGATCAAGAAGTGACAGCAGACATAGATCAGACTCAAGGAGAGACAACCGGCATCGGTCGGACTCAAGGGGTGACAAGAGACATAGATCTGGATCTAAGAGTGACACACAGTCTAATGATTCTATTCAGCAATTGACTGCATTGGAAGAAAGAAGGTTAGACAAGATTTATTTCTTTTTGCCGACTTATTCATTGTTTAAAATTAATAATCTGTAGATCATTTTTCTGGTAAAGTGTTTTTATCTTGCTGTCGTCATAAATAAAACTTTGCTCAGGTTTCAAACATAAATGTGACATTTTTATGAAGCTTTATGTCCAAAAAATGTTTTTATCAATCAGGAAAGAAAAGGCTTTACTAAAAGCTTTAGAAACACCAGAGGAAAAAAGAGCAAGAAGATTGGCCAAAAAGGTAAGTTAAGACAGTAGCAAGACGTTTTGGTGGGAAATATTAGTTTTAGCTGTAATGTTATGTTTAGTTGAGTATAATTAATTTTAGCTAGGCCTATAAGGTTTTTAGGTGGGTATTTTTAGTTTCAGCTTCATTATTGCTATAATTGTTCTGTAATGTAAATGCTACATTAAGGTAATTTTTGTTAGTTTTAACTAAAGTATTATTGTTTAAAAAGAAGTTACTAGTATTATGGTACAGTAGTTATTGTTAGTTATATAGCTATGTTGTTGGTTATTATTATTTATGTTGTGTTGTATTTATGTGTTTATTGTCTAATAAGGACTGAAAATTTATTTTAATGATTTCAGGAAGCAAAAGAGCGTAAGAGAAAAGAACAGATGGGCTGGGATAAAGATTATCTGGTAAGTGTGTACTAAGCCTTTCTACATGAAAGCCTGCATGTACATGTGGTTCTGCAGGTATAGGTTTGTCATAAATGTTTCACTTTATTGTAACGATTGCCATAACTCTTTGAATTAAATTAGAAAAGTTATTAAATGCGTGGGTGAAAACTTAAATATTTATAATCTCAAAAGATAATTTGCATTTGTTAATCAGAAATAAATAGCTGCGGGGCTGTTATACATTCTATATGATGTAGACAATTTTACTGCATGTAATGTAGATAATTTGATTACGACAGGGTTATACCAATGTAGACAACCCATTTGGAGATGAACATTTACTGGACACTTTTGTGTGGACGAAAAAGCTGGAGAAGGAAGGTAAAAAAGACTTTGCTGCTGAAGATTTACAAGCTATAGCTCGATCTAAGATGCTGCAAAATAAGGTCAGTTTTTAACTAAAATTTGGGACTAAAAATAGGATAGCCAGAGACATAAAACAGAAAAACTTGAGATTTATTTATATCAGATATTTTATTAAAAACTTCAAATTTTACTAAACACTAATACTGCAGTAGCTTTAAATTAACCTTACACAAATACCACAGTCCCTTTGATTTGTTAAATATATTGTAAAAAAAAAACAATTATCTGCCTGAATTAGAATAAAGTTGAAAGAACTAAAATGGACTATTTAATTTAGGCTGAGTTGGAGAAAGTGAAGAAACGTCGACTTGAGCGTGAACGTGAGCAGGAGGAGAGGGAGAGGGAAAGGGTAAGTTTTTTTGTCTAATATGTGAGAACCGCATGACAAACTGCCAATAAAAAGTTCAACATTTATTTTAACTCTGTTATATGTCCACATTGCTAATTTCTTTTTAAATTTATCATGCTTAGATAATTTAAACGTTGAATGATTTAATATTGAATTAAAACATAACTCATCTTGAAGAGAAAAACATTTAAACACATCTATTTATTTAAAATGTTAAGGTGCATTAAATACAATTATTCTTTAAACATGCTAAGATTGTTTCTTCATGGAATAATTCTTTACCAGGAAATGTTACAACGAGAGAAAGAAGCTGACTATTACAAAGAATGGGAAAAACAGGAAGATGGTGTAAGTCCTTTATATCTGTATTTTATTACATTTGTTTTAACTTGTTTTTTTTAAAGATGTAATATTTTATTGTTATTTGACTAGTGATAGATGAACATTTTTCTTTTAGTTTCACCTGAGCCAAGCCAAGCTTAGATCAGAGATAAGAATAAAAGATGGACGGGGTGTGTACATTTTTTCTTGTACTAAAATTTATCAACATGTTCTATTGCTAGAACATAGATGTATATTTATCAATATTTTCTTGTACATTTATCAACATGTTCTATTGCTGGAATATAGCTGTACATTTTTTCAACACATTTTATTCATCAGCAAAACCAATTGATTTACTGGCCAAGTACATCAGCGCAGAAGATGATGAGTTGGCAGTAGAGATGCATGAACCATACACATATCTTTATGTAAGTCAACACATTTAACACATAGACCATGGACTTGTAAGTTAGTTCATTTACACATGTAATTGTAAATCACTTTAAGTAACTATCTAAACTATAAATATCTGTGTAAATCAATTTAGAATAGAACTGTATCTATGGAGATCTAACACATTTTAACTATGAGAGTTAAAAGTCAAATCCTTTCTTGAAATAGTAACCTAAATTATGTATTGTCTAGGGATTGACCATCCAAGATCTTGAAGACTTACTGGAGGACATTAAAGTTTATTTAGAGCTGGAAGAAGGGAAAAATGCTGACTATTGGAGGGACATTATTACAGTCACCCAGGATGAGTTGGTCAAACTTAGGAAGTTGGACTCTAGAGGTGAGAGCTGGCTAAATTGTTGATTAAACTAGATTTTATAAACTAAGAACTATTCAAACAGTAGAGGTAAGAATTGGTTGTTTAGTTTTATTGAATGTAATCCTATAGTTAAATAAGATGTTTTCTTATATTGTCTGTTAGAATTTATTGGGGACAGGCGAGATGGAATCAATCAAGCTGTCACATCTGAGATTGGAGATATCTTTAAAGGGAAGACAACCAATCAACTCAAGCTCCTAGAGAAACAAATCAAAGACAAACTCAGTGGTGGTGAAGGCATTGATGTTGGTGAGCTACAAAATATCTTACATTTGTAATTGTAAGAAAAGTGTGTCAAAGTACAAAAAATCAAAATTTAAAAAATGCTTGAATGATTTGATAATAAGCAGCTGTTAGCTCAGATTCAGGTTTTATTTTTAGAATAAGAATTTCTTTCTCTAGTATATTATGTTAAGCCTTTTTCTTGTACAGCTCTTCTTATGTATCAATTTACATTCAGCATAACAACTGCTACAGACGTAATCTTAGTTATAAATAAAATCAAAACAGTTTCACAACATGTGAATTGTTTCTCCTATACACGGTATTTCAGGTCCTAATTTTGTATTTTCTCCTGAGACATTTACCCCTCTATTGCTAGTACCAAAAGTATGTTTTAATTTCAGGCTACTGGGAGTCTCTGTTACAGCAGTTGAAAGCTTATAAAGCAAGAACTAGACTCAGGGAAAGGCATCAGGAAGTTTTACGGCAAAAACTTTTTAAGCTTAAACGTGAGGTAAGCAATGCTCAGCCGTGGGGGGTGGGGGGGACGACGACACATACAAACTGCTCTTGTATGAGCTTTTAATGGTTTTACACCAAGAAGACAAGATGAAAAGGAGAGTATCGATATTATTTATACATACTATTATTACTATTGATTAGGTTGATGTGAAGAATGTATGTTTTTTCCTTTCCAGCAAGGCATTGAGTCTGGGCCTTTGTTTCCTGTTGTTACAACAGAGAAGCCAGAGTCAAGTAAATCTGTACATGAGTCATCACCTCAACCAGGACCATCACAAGAGCCATCAGACAGGTCAGTTGCAGGGTCACCTAACCCCTCCCTATTATAGATCAATTTTAAGGGCAGAGACATTTATGCAAACTACTTTTTTTTCTTCTAATTTAGCGGGCCAGTTGAAGAAGAGAAAAAAGAAGAGGAAGAAGAAACAATAACAGAAGAAGACATGCAAGAAATGGAATATATCAAGGGAGGATACTCTCCCAGATTATTTCAAGCTGAAGATCTCACTCTTGATGCTGTTGTTTATGATGAAGCTGATGATAACAAAAAATTAGACTTGGCAAGAAAACAGGTGTTTGCTACTGGACGAGTGAGGGTGAGTTAAACAGGCCATAGAGATTAATAATTAATTATTGATTAATTAACTTAAAAGGTCATAAGGTAATGAAGTAAAACTATTTAGTTTCTGTTGGGCATTTCAAATTTTTGTTAACCCACAATATTTCTCACATATTTAAATACAAATTCTGATGTCACCTTTGCCAATTAAAATATGAAAGTTACAATATTTAAATATGTAGGTGAAACAGCAATCAGAATTTAGCTCTATAAAAATGTATTTTGTTTTATCAAGTATCACAATTAAGTGCCTATGGAATAATGTTTAAATTATAAAAATCAATGAAATCATTTAACTAGTTACTTTGATCTAGAATAACAGCTATAGTAAGTGTTTATTATTTTATCAGACTGATGGTGAGACAGAGTTTGAAAAGAAAGCCAGGGAAGGAATGGATTTGGATGAGGCTCAATTTAGCGTTGAACTTAATTTGGATCAGCAGTCATTTATGTGGTCAGATAAATACAGGCCTCGAAAACCTCGCTTCTTTAACAGAGTACACACAGTAAGTCAGACATTTTTTTACATCTTTGTGTTGCTATATTTACTTCTTTAACTGTGTAATGCAAAGCTGTCTATGCCTGTCACTAAAAATAACACTGCCTGTTCTTAAGACTTTATTGACAATTTTTTGTTCTATGCTGCAACTACTTGAAATGTCTCCAACTAAAATATATGTTCTGTGGTATCTGTGCAGGGTTTTGAATGGAACAAGTACAATCAAACACATTATGACATTGACAACCCTCCACCAAAGATTGTCCAAGGCTATAAATTCAATGTAAGTCATCAATGTGTTCCTAGTCTGTAGAATAACTAGTGAAATAGTAGTTTGAAATAAGTAAAACACTGAACCTTTATTGTTTCTATTCCTCAGATTTTCTACCCAGACCTCATTGATAAAGCAAAAACTCCAGAATATTTTGTGGTAAGTGTATACAGTGTACTAAAGAAATTATAAATAGGTCAGGGTGGGGTGCTGTTTCTATGTCGGGTCTAAAGCACATCACAGCTTTAAGTTTAATGACAATCATATTTCAAACACTTGTTTCATAATTGAAAAATGTTCTTTTTCAGACCCCATTAGAAGGCAGCAAAGATTTCGCTATGCTTAGATTCCATGCAGGCCCACCTTATGAGGTATTTTATATTACTGAATCTTAAGTTGTCTTTAACTGTGCTACTGATTTTAATCATGATCAGTTTTAAATGTGAAATATTTTATTTTTACAGGACATAGCCTTCAAAATAGTAAACCGTGAATGGGAATATTCATATAAAAGGGGTTTTAGGTGTCAGTTTCACAACAACATTTTTCAACTCTGGTTCCATTTCAAGCGCTACAGATACAGACGATAAATTTTTATTTACTCATTTTAATAAAAAAAATTGCATTAAAATTAAAATACCCATCTCTGTTTTAATTTTTCCAGCTTTACACTTTGTCAGACTAGACTAGAAGTTTATATAATTCTAAGTTCACTTATCTGAATTATAATGCTAGGAAGACAACAATGTTATGGCAGAAATGTTTCTAATCTTTGCTTTAAACAATTTTAAAAAACTGTACTCTTAGATTTTTATTAAACCATAGGTGTTTTTTTTAAATAATAATTCTTAATAAATAGCTGGGCACTGTTTATCTCCCTTGTAGCAGTCACAATAAATTGAGTAGGTCTGTTATAACAATTGGGCCTCTAGAGGGGTCCCTATAAAGTTCAACCCCATTTCCTACACTGTCATGCACAATCCAGAATATCCTCCACTGAAACTGCTAGAGATGTTTTCCTGTGAAATAAGGCTAAAGTCATGGTACTAAGCTTGTCAACTCAACTTGCCATGATACAGGACTAATGTCCTTGAAGTTCAAGATGTCACTGACTTTCTTTGGTGCCTGAACCATCTTTAAATAATTTTCTAGGTGTAATCCAAATTTTTGTCTAAGAGACAAACAGCACCAATCAAGTAGTGGACGAGGCTGACCATACAAACTCTCTATTTTTTCTAAGACTTCCTTGTTGGCTGAGGGATATTTGCCTTCTTTTATCCACTCACTGTCATCCTCAAGATTGTATCCAGCGCGTAAAATCATCAGTGCTATTGCACTATGACCTTCTTCAAGACATATCTGCAACCCTGATCCAAAATGACAAGGAAGAGCAATGGGTTTACCCAAACTTAAAAATAGCTTGACAATATTTTCATGACCTTTGAGTATGGCAAACCACAGAGGTGTAATATCATTGAAAGACTGTGGACAGTTTTCTTCAAAATTATATTCAGTCATAAGTGACATATGATTGATGAGTGTGTAAGTCATATCTAAGTCACCAAGATATGCTGCCATGTGTAGCGGAGTTACTTTAATGTCACAGGTTGAACACACGCTTGTCATTGAAGCTCTCCAAAAACTGCCAAATGATAAACACTCACATAATGCATTTGCTTGCAAAAGAAGTTTAAAAATATCTGGTTTATGCTGCATGACAGAGGCTAATAGTGGTGTGACACTGTGACCACAACCTAAAAGTAAAAATACAGTTTGACTATTGGAATAAACAACCCATAATTAAACCTACCCAGCTTTAAAAAAGTCATTTGTACAAATTACATAAATAAAACTAAATGCAAGTTTTTAGAATGTGCACATTTTTTTGTAACTAAATAATATTGATTTCACCAAACTCTGATAACCTTACCAACAATAGCATCAAATATTTACTGATAATCACCTATTGAACTTACCCTTAGAAAAAATAAACTGTGTAGTTACAGCTTTGTTACTAGCAATATTATATTGACCCATTGGTTCACTACTCAAAGACCCCCAAAACTTAGACAAAGCATCAACATTAACATCTGCTCCATGTTGAATCAGGAGCTTGACTAGCTCTGTCTGGCCCATGACAACAGATGTGACCAGAGCAGAACTCCCATCCCCATCCAGGCTGGCATTTACATTGATCCCTGCAGTCAGCAGCAGTGAGAGAATCTCCAGCGTCTCTGGAATACAAAGCTGGGATTCAACTTTTACAAATATTGTAGCATCAAATGTGTTGAAACATTGCTATGTCTTTGTTTATTGAAAGCTTATGGGTCATCATTAAGTTGTTTCTTAATTAATGATTACAAAATGCAACAATTCTACTCCACTTCATGCCATCTTTGACCAAACAACAGCTAATGCTTATTTCAGAAAAAAAATATGATAAAATAACTTTTTTAAAATGTAATTCTATTTTATTTTGATACAACTACAATATAAAAGTAAAGGTGACCTTATATAGTACACAATCAAGGTCTCTTTGGGGGGGGGGGGGGGGGGGGGGAAGGGTCAGAGTCTTGAGATCTAAATAATCTAATGGGTACTTAACTCATTTTAGGAAAAGTAAAGCAGTTGGGCATAGTGCTGACCACACTATCCCTTCACAGAAACAGGTGAACTCTACTTCACTTGCCCCATAGACAGTCTGGTTTGAAAGGGAACTTTACTACTTAAAGCTTGCTATTTGAATGTTACGCTACCATCTTTTTTACCAATAAAAACATTGTTTTATTTTTTCCATACCATGTTTCTGCAAGATGTAAATCTTACTTGGTGTAAAATTCTCAGGCAAAGCATGATACAAAACATTCTGTCCATGCTTGTCTCTAGCTTCTATATTTTCTCCTGCCTGTATCATTTCATGGACTAAATCCTTAACCTGGTCAATAACAGCTTTCATCAGCCGAGTATGGCATGGTTCAGATGTGTGATGTGACAACATTCCTCTCCAGGAGCATAACTCATACGTAAATAACGCAACACCTGTAGCTATTTTTTAAAATAAAACATAATTTAATTATATGGAAATCAGTTTAACAAAGTCTCAAATATTTTTGAAAAATCTAAATAGTGAGAACGTGTAGAATCACCATTTGGTCAAATATCTATTGATTATTATAGAAAAAAATATGGTGTAGAGTAGATATTATTAAAATGCTATTTTAATAAATCAGCACAATTTTGTTCAAAATATTTACTCTTTCTAATCTGTGCTTAAAATTAAATACGCTTTTACTTTTAGTTCTAAAAAAATGGCAACAAGTTGTGTTTTAATCAGGCATTTATGGGGATGGGGGTTAATTATTACATTCTACGATTAGATTTATTTTCATGGTTATTACCCTGTATTACTAACTATATATATATATATATATATATATATATATATATATATATATATATATATATATATATATATATATATATATATATTTAGGCCTATATAATACTATATATATTATATATATCTATAGGCCTATATATATATATATATATATATATATATATATATATATATATATTATATATATAGGCCTATATACTATATATATATTATATATATATATTATAATTTAACATCATTAGGCCCCTAATTTAAAATTTTAATTTAGTAATTACGTAACTATAGGCCTACTTACTACTTACTTACTAACTATAATAATAATTATGAAGATTCAAAATCAAAGTAGATCTACCTTATTTAAAAATTAATAAATATTAAATTAGTTAAATTAGTTAAAATTACCAATCTACTCTACTCTAGTCTAGTCTCTAGACCTAGCCCTAGGCCTTATTTTTATAATATTAAGTAAATAAATGTCTGCACTTGGAAAAAGTTGTTGTAGTTACGTCTTTTAGTTCCGTTAAAAGGGAGGCAACTAACAATATTTTATTGTAATAATAATAAAAATGGCTACTGCTGAGGAAGGGAAGACGCCTACCAATTACCAATATCAGCCTCAGGGCCCAAGTAGTAAGGATTCCGTAAGTGACATAAATTATTAGAGTTTAAGTATCATTATATTATTAGTCATGGTTCAGCATTACACTTGAATTAATGCTGTAAAACCCGGATATTAGTATTAGCACTTGTCATTCTTTTCCGGAACTGTGCTACTCACTGCTCTGAGTGTCTGAGGAGTAGGCTACTCACTGTCTTTCTCATGCTTGTAGAATCTACAAGAATTAATATCATAATAGAAATATATCTAGATCTAGATTAAGTTGTAGCATACAAAATAAATTTTTGAATATTTTATCCCAAAATCATATGAGTGAGTTAGAGGAAAGATTAAGAATTCCATACCATAAAAAATAGGCCTAATCAATATATATTAGATCTATATAGGGGCCTAATATATAGGCCTATAATCATTAAAAAAAATTAATCAGATTCATTGGTACCAAATTTTGAAATTTATTTATATTATTTTATATTTCTAGATCGAGCTTTAACTTTAAAATTAAATAGTTCTAGATTCTAGATCTAGTAGGCCTATAAAATATAAATAGAAGAGGAGAAATTTTTTTTTTAATGTAAAATGTATGGCATTGTATTACCCCACTCAGGGAAAAATTATATGGCATATGGGACACCTGACAAACTGGAAACCACAGTCCGGTTTGTCCACGAAGTTGGACTTGTTGTCTGAATCCTCCACCATATTCAAAAATTAAGAACGAAGAAGAAGAAGAGTATGGTCTTAGAATCTTATCTACTGAAATATCTAGATCTAAGCTCTGTAAAAAATGAAACAAGTGGGAAACAAAAATGAAAATTTTATAAAATATGTTTGCAAAAAAATTGTGACTTCTAATGATAAATTACCAAACAGGGGTGGTTCTTTTATGTAAATTTGCATTAATAATTGTGCAGGCTTGTTTCTGTTTGATGTTATGCTTTATTTTTAAAAATGTACATTTTTACTATGGCTAATTTATATAGTAGGAAAAAAAAACACGGCCGATAAAGGTCTGAATCTTAAAAAATTAATTAAAAAATGTATTTGTAAAATTAAATCACAATTTCTTTATAAAATAAGAACCACAAGTGGTTTATTTAACTCATTTTATATAGTTTTTTTGTGCAGGCAAGTGTTTATATATTAAAATAAAGTTGATTTCAAATTATAGGCAAAATGAAAGAAAATGAAAAGTAATTACACTAGGTTACAGCTGAACCTCAGTGTTATAACGTCATCAGTATGATTGGTACTGATGACTGCAGTGAGAGGGTCAAGAAAACACAAACGCAATTTCAGCTCCTTAATTTTAATGGTTGATACTTCAGTCTTGGATAAAATAGGAAATAATCTTGAACATCAATAACGGCCAGCCTTAGGGGCCAGCCCTACCACACTTTACAAAACAAAACAGGTCTACATGCTTCTAAGGCTAACGTTCAACTGTTCATTCTCCCGGCCCCAGTTTCACCCTCAGGAACCTTAACCCCTGCCTGACCCCAGTAGTCCAGCAAGGGGGAAGGGCGGGCGCCATAGTCTGCACATGGCTAGGTGGGAACAGGGGTGTCTTCCTATCAGGTTATGCCTGTCCCAGTTCAGGTGGGGGGGGGGGGGGGGGAGAAGGGGGGAGGATAACCCACTAGCATTAACAACGGACTCAGTTATAACACTCAGTAGATTTTGAAAATGTGGTTGCTTTGATTATTGAAAATTAATATGATATTAATTTAAAATTAATAAGAGACAGAGGTAAAAACAAAATTGGAAAAAAAGTCAAGAGCTCTGGGCAGGTTTTTGTATGAAAATTCTCCCTTTGTTCTAATGCTACATACTAATCTAAATATCTAGTTGTCAGTAGTTAATAGTACTCAGTAATAGTAATAGTCAGTGGTGAACTAGTAAATTAGTTTAGTTTAAAATTAGTACTGTGCTAGATCTAGATGTTGTGAGTTAGTTTTTTTTACTCTTTACTTTAAATACTAGACTATTGCACATATTTAAAATGGTAAAATAGTCAAATATAAACCCAAAAGGACGCTATTTCTAGTCCTCCCTTTGAATCCTGGTAAGAACGTCTCACAGGCCTGGCCTCAACCAACCGGTGGGCTAGTTGCTTTGAGTTAAATATAAACTCAAAACAATAGGCCTAACAGCCCTAATACAAATATAAAAAAAAAAACTTTATAGGCCCTAATAGTAAGATTTTAAAGGTATTGAAAATTAAAATTAAAAAATCATTTCCTTTAATAAAAGTTTTAGCCTTTCTGGAATTTTTCACACAGTTTAGCTACCATGAATATTATTACTGAAAAAAGTGTTTTCAAAATTGTTAGTGCATTTAAAAGCTTATTATTATAAATAATATATAAATATATATATATTAGTATTTAAATAACTAGATCTATGTCTAGATCTACATATGACATTTGAATGAACTACACATGATTTATTAATATACTCTTTGTTCATTTTTTTTTCATTTGCAGTCTTCTGCTTATTTGATGTCCATTGTTAGCACATTGTCTTCAAGGCAAGTCCTTTAAGTTTATTTCAGCAGTAAAGGTTAAGTGTCATGTTTAAAGTTTCATTTTAGCTTACAAAAAGTATTGCTCATATACATTTATTTATACTATTATTATGTTATTACTTTAAATATGAAATAAGCTAATATTTAGTCTAATAAGAATCAAGCTACATAGAATGTATAGATATACTATAAGTTTTTTAAAATATACTTCTATTGTCCTAGATAATAAATTTTATGAGATTATTTTCAATAAATATCACAGGTGTATTTTCTTGGTGATATAGTTATATTTAGGACATAATTTCAAGTAAATGCAAGTCTCTTTTAAAATGTGCATAGGTTTTTGTCAGCTTTAAAAGTAGTGTGGACCTATATTTAAATTATGTTGATAATTTGTCTTCTTATGCCAAAATGAATTTTCACAGTGCTAATTATGATCAAAGAGAAAAAGAAAAAACAAGAATAGAAAAAGCTTTTAGAGAGAGTGACAAGAGGCTAGGGGAACTTGTAACAGGTAAGCCTATATGAATGAGCTGACTTCTTGTCCTTAATTTAAAGTATTTGTATGAATCTGAAAAGAAAGTATTTAAAAAATACATGTTCTCCATTTATGTCTTAAATTACAATAATTATTTGGTCTTCACATGATAATTTACAAATGTTTTATTTTTTATTTTAAGAAAATTACCAGGATGTGACCAAGATTTTACAAGCTTTCAATGGGATGACCAAAAGTATCAATGGTATGTTTCTACTAGTCTGTGGTTTTAATGTTCACCTTACCTACATTAAGTGAATTATGGGATGACCTAAAGTATCAATGGTATGTTTCTACTAGTCTGTGGTTTTAATGTTCACCTTACCTACATTAAGTGAATTATGGGATGACCTAAAGTATCAATGGTATGTTTCTGCTAGTCTGTGGTTTCAATAAGATGACCTAAAGTATCAATGGTATGTTTCTACTAGTCTGTGGTTTTAATGTTCACCTTACCTACATTAAGTGAATTATTGAAACAACTTACGTACACATACAAATGCATATTTATGATTGTTGATAGTTTTCTTCAGTGTGCTGAAACTAAGCTAATGTAACCAGCTTATGAACATCATTTGCCTATTCTCAGTTTTATTTATCTTCCACTGCTCTGCATATCTATTTATTTCAATAACATAGCAATTAAAAAACACTAAATAAGCAATAAAAGATTTCAAACAATCCAAATTTTAGATAATTTAAAGCCAAACTGGCTATACATTTTAAAAAAAAACTAATTTGTCTTTAACTTTGTAAATTTATATCTAATTGTACTTGTTGTATTTTACAGTATTATTTTATTGAAGTATAGCTGTAGTCACATCAAGGCTTACATGTAGTGTAGAATTTTATTACAATACTTAATTATTAATGTATATGCAGTAAAGTGAGAAAAAGATTTTATAATAATTTTTTATTATAATGATTTTTTATTATCACAATTATATTAATTTATTTTTAAAAATTTTGATTAGTAAAATTATAAACACATTACTTAATACTTATAATTCAACAAAAATTGAATATTAATTTTATTCTAGAATCTCGTGAGAAGATAAGAAAAATAAAAGAAGATTTAAATTCTTGTAAAACCCTCCTTCATTTTAAACGTGATGAACTTCGCAAGTTGTGGAAAGATGGTGTAGAACACAAAGCAGTTTTGTCCATGTTGGAGCAAGTGTAAGCTCAATGATTCCTATCCATTCTATGTATTGTTTGAGTGTGTCTTTTCTCATTGTGAACAAATTTATCAAACAACAACTTGTTTTGTTTGGGTACACATTATTATGGTCCAAATTGTTGTATCTTAGAGAACAAATGAAGGAAGTCCAGGACAAGATGAACACATACATGGCCAACAAACATTACCTTCATGCTACAGATACCATTGTACAAGCAGGTGTGTTGATTAATTAACATTGAATCAAATTTGTGAAAATATCACCAGATGAAAGTTAACATACTGCCTATTGCTTACAATAAATCTGTATCCTATTTTAAAGTTAGCAGAATTAGTCATTTATTATGGATTGATGTCAAATAATGAAAGCAGATAACTAATACACATTTTTGAAAGATTTATTTTCTGAAAGTTAAAATATGTATTAATTTCAGTGTCTATGCTAGAAGGTCCTCTAAATGGCATTGATGCCTTGCGTGAGGTTCGAGGTGATCTTATCAACATTAAGGAGGTAATTACATTTCTCATCAGCCAAGCTTATATTAAGGAAACAAATGTCTTATCCAGTAACAATATTGACAGCTTGAATCTAGGTGTGTGACTACACACTAGTTCACAGAAAGATATTGTTATAGAATTGTCTGCTTCCTAAACTACAATTGTTATTTACAGTTCACTAAAATATTTATTTAAAAAACTGAATTTATCAGTAAATTCACAAATTAGGATGTTGTATTTCCACACAGCCACTTTCAGTTTGACTGACAGTTTATTCTATGATGGAATAAATCATCAGTCAAACTCCAAGTAGACTAGCAGAATGGCTGCTATGTTATTAAAATCAACATTGCCCCTTTATAAACATTTGTTCAACCTTGAATGACTGAAAATAATTGGATTCCCCTGCTGGCTGCAGAAAATGCATGAAACTCTGATTGAGGAGCTGAGCCGACAGATCTACGAGAGATCTCTGCCTTCCTCAAGTTTACAGCCTGGCAGTCTGATGAGGTGGAGCAGGAAAGATGCAACTGTTTGGGGGTGGTCTGATGGTGTGGACTCTCCTAGAAGAGTTCCAAGTAAGTTGGAAAACATTTTTGTAATAAATGTATCATTAGAAATAAAACACAGTCATTAGTTAGTTGTTGAACTCATCTCATGAGGCTGATAAAGTTTTGTTTTTTGTGATAGATGCATAAGTTGAATGTGCTGTTCAAAATACAGTGTCATCTGTCCATCCCATCTCCCTCCCCCAGTCATAAGAAAGGTCTATTTTGCATGTCTGAAATTTCAGCAAAAATATTTTAGTAGTTATTAACACATTTTGAGAGAGAGAGAGAGACATCAGAGTGATGTTCTTTGTATATTTTATATTTCTCTACAGAACAGGACTCAGTTGAATCTTCTAACAACAAAGCTTACACAGAAGTGAAAGAAGACTTGAACAGCAACCCAGAGGAAAACCTGACCAAGTTTATTGCTATTTTAACTGAATCTCTCTTTGTGCTGAGAAAACTGCCAGATGCAGTGGAGGTAAATATGATAATTGTGGTACAATAATATTCAATCTTTTTCATAATCAATTGGTCCTTGTGATTAATTTCTTTATACATTAATTTTTGTCTTAAAATTGCTAATAAATCTCATAATTTTATTCAGCGCATAAAACTTGGCATGAAAGGAAGTCTTCACAAGTTAATCAACACAGCTACCCAACAGATAGCTGAAAGGTATTTTTTATAATAATACTCTGAGAAATGCTCTAAGAAATGTTTACTTTAAAAATTACAATGACAGAAGTAACAAAAATCTTTCTCCCCAATGTCTAGCTCGGGCCAGCAGCTGGACTCCATGGAGAATCATGTCCAGCCCAAGTACTTCAATGAGCTGCTCAAGCTTGTGTTCCAGCACAGCCGATGTGTAGCCCAGACCCACCAGACATTTCTGGACCACGTACTCAAGTTAACTGTAAGTCTCTACCCAAAATGTTTCTCACTCAACTCTAAGATCATGTTGGGTTACTTGTTTTACACCTGGAAATATTGTATCATCTATCTCATCATCATACACTTCTTTTCTAGCACCCAACAGCAAATATTGACCTGAAATTATTCAATGACTTTCATCTCTCTCATCATCATACACTTCTTTTCTAGCACCCAACAGCAAATATTGACCTGAAATTATTCAATGACTTTCATCTGTCTCATCATCATACACTTCTTTTCTAGCACCCAACAGCAAATATTGACCTGAAATTATGCAATGCCTTGTATCTCTCATCATCATACACTTCTTTTTTAGCACCCAACAGCAAATATTGACCTGAAATTATTCAGTGACTTTCATCTCTCTCATTATCATAAACTTCTTTTCTAGCACCCAACAGCAAATATTGACCTGAAATTATTCAGTGACTTTCATCTCTCTCATTATCATACACTTCTTTTCTAGCACCCCACAGCAAATATTGACCTGAAATTATTCAGTGACTTTCATCTCTCTCATCATCATACCTTTTATCATCTCTCTCATCATCATACACTTCTTTTCTAGCCTTCACCTGGCATTGACAATGAGGTAACTGACACTGTTTATGTAACTGTTCCTTTTTTTCAAAAGCTTTGCATTTGATGTTTTTCATTTTACTCCATATCATTTTCTTGGCTGTTTTTTTTTTATATTTTTGTTTCATTCTTCCTGTTTAGAAGATCAGCTCTTTTTTTTAGAAATGAGAAGATTATTTTTGACAAAGCCAGTAATTTTAGTATGAGGCAACACATTTATAAGCTCATCGAGGAAAGAAAAAAAATAATGTAAACATTTATCCATGTCTTGATTTAAATTTTGTCTTTTTATTTATTTAAAAACTTATCAGAGACATGTTTATCATAATTTATTTATATTAATTTGCATCATAATGCAGTAGCTAGGCCTTGGTTGTATTGGGGTCACTGTAACAATTCTGATCATCAGACAAAATCATGGAACACATTTTTAAACCCCGATAATTTAAGAATGCTGATATTCTTAGACAGATCATGTAACATCACAAAACTTATGTTTTAAGCCATCAGACAGATCATATATCAACAAACACATGTGTTTAGCATCAGACAGATCACATATATTAACACATGTTTAGCATCAGACAGATCATGTAACATCACAACACTGATGTTTTAAGCCATCAGACAGATCATATATCAACAAACACATGTGTTTAGCATCAGACATATTATGTAACAACACAACACTGATGTTTTAAGCCATCAGACAGATCATATATTAACAAACACATGTGTTTAGCATCAGACATATTATGTAACAACACAACACTGATGTTTTAAGCCATCAGACAGATCATATATCAACAAACACACGTGTTTAGCATCAGACAGATCATGTAACATCACAACACTGATGTTTTAAGTCATCAGACAGATCATATATCAACAAACACACGTGTTTAGCATCAGACAGATCATGTAACATCACAAAACTTATGTTTTAAGTCATCAGACAGATCATATATCAACAAACACATGTGTTTAGCATCAGACAGATCTTGTAACAACACAACACTGATGTTTTAATCCAATACAAATAAAGTTCGAGGCTCTTCAAATATACTGCCTAAAATTTAAGCTGTGTTATCTGGAAATGTATAATGTATCATTTTAAGCTAAGATATGAGACTATAATTTTGCTATATCATGTACATGTTTTCATAAAATTTTGTTTATGGTGACATTTGCCTATTTTTTTTTTTACAAATAATTTTCTTAAAAATGTGAAAATAATTCAATTTTAATTGAGAAACACAATTGTATTTCAATATCGTTTTTTTTTTTTAAAACACTTTTTAAAAAAAATAATTCTTATTGAAACACTTAAAAACAAAATGTATGGAATGGGACTTTTTTGTGCATGAAAAAGTGTATTCAAAATTCTAGAAGGTGTTGTTTTTAAGCTATATTTAGTTTTCATCATTTTCATTTGTAGAATTAATGTATTTTGTGTCATCTGACAATGTTCAAGTCAATGTGAACAGCTTAATTTGTGATGGTCTAAACACTTACATTATCTCTTTATAGACACTCATCAGACCAATAATGTAATACTTCAATCATACTTCTGTAAATACATCTTACAACAATTATATCATACAACTCTTACTTTTCTAAATCTCCGCATTGTTAACTGTCAAACTATTGTTATTTATCTAACTTTATTTCTATTGTGTAGAAATCAGGCATGCCACTACAGAACCATATAATGTACGACATGAAAGATGTCTGGTCGGAGATTCAAGCCAGGGTAAGTCAGTTTTTCTTCTGTCTGATTGTATTCTTGTTTCTTGTAGAACTTATTAGGTCATCTGTTTTGTCTGCGCGGTAGGTGTAATCTATCAGTAGACCTGCAATGTAGAAACACTGGTCTAGCTGGTAACATGGGTGAGAAAAATGTGGAATCCCATGGGTCTAGCTGGTAACATGGGTGAGAGAAATGTGGAATCCCATGGGTCTAGCTGGTAACATGGGTGAGAGAAATGTAGAAACACACAGGTCTAGCTGGTAACATGGGTGAGAGAAATATGGAGTCCCATGGCTCTAGCTGGTAACATGGGTGAGAGAAATGTGGAATCCCATGGGTCTAGCTGGTAACATGGTTGAGAGAAATGTGGAATCCCATGGGTCTAGCTGGTAACATGGGTGAGAGAAATGTGGAATCCCATGGGTCTAGCTGGTAACATGGGTGAGAGAAATGTGGAATCCCATGGGTCTAGCTGGTAACATGGGTGAGAGAAATGTGGAATCCCATGGGTCTAGCTGGTAACATGGGTGAGAGAAATGTGGAATCTCATGGGTCTAGCTGGTAACATGGGTGAGAGAAATGTGGAATCCCATGGGTCTAGCTGGTAACATGGGTGAGAGAAATGTGGAATCCCATGGGTCTAGTTTTGTCTAGCAAGTCAAATTTTGTTATTTTGTCATATTGTTCCAGCTCCAAATTTTACTCAGTCAATACCTGGATGTCCCCAATAGCATGTTATCTCGTCAACAAGTTCCCTCGGGGTTTGACCAGCCAACAATGGACATCAGCCAATATTTTAGCAAAAAGAAAGCTGGGAAAGCTAAAAAGGTAAAAAGGTTTCCACTTATTTGTAGTCAAATTGTCAAAAAGATACAGTTTTCTCTAAGTTAAATGAACTTTATCTTTTTTAAGTCTAGGTTGTTGTCTATTGTTAGTCGTTTTGTTGTAAATATTTGTCATAATTTTTTTATGTGGATGTTGCTATGATATGTTAGACTTCAGTGTTACCTTGAGACTGATAACTTATCCAACTACATAGTCCATCATGAGTATTTTAAGTGGCTAATGCTCAGTCCTCTGTCCTTTAGTTGGCTAACTCTCCAATCTCTGTCCTTCAGTTGGCTAACTCTCCAACCTCTGTCCTTCAGTTGGCTAACTCTCCAACCTCTGTCCTTCAGTTGGCTAACTCTCCAACCTCTGTCCTTTAGTTGGTTAACTCTCCAACCTCTGTCCTTCTGTTGGCTAACTCTCCAACCTCTGTCCTTCAGTTGGCTAACTCTCCAATCTCTGTCCTTCAGTTGGCTAACTCTCCAATCTCTGTCCTTCAGTTGGCTAACTCTCCAATCTCTGTCCTTCAGTTGGCTAACTCTCCAATCTCTGTCCTTCAGTTGGCTAATTCTCCAACCTCTGTCCTTCTGTTGGCTAACTCTCCAATCTCTGTCCTTCAGTTGGCTAACTCTCCAACTTCTGTCCTTCAGTTGGCTAACTCTCCAATCTCTGTCCTTCAGTTGGCTAACTCTCCAATCTCTGTCCTTCAGTTGGCTAACTCTCCAATCTCTGGCCTTTAGTTGGCTAACTCTCCAATCTCTGTCCTTCAGTTGGCTAACTCTCCAACTTCTGTCCTTCAGTTGGCTAACTCTCCAATCTCTGTCCTTCAGTTGGCTAATGCTCAGTCCTCTGTCCTTCAGTTGGCTAACTCTCCAATCTCTGTCCTTTAGTTGGCTAACTCTCCAATCTCTGTCCTTCAGTTGGCTAACTCTCCAATCTCTGGCCTTTAGTTGGCTAACTCTCCAATCTCTGTCCTTCAGTTGGCTAATGCTCAGTCCTCTGTCCTTCAGTTGGCTAACTCTCCAATCTCTGTCCTTTAGTTGGCTAACTCTCCAACTTCTGTCCTTCAGTTGGCTAACTCTCCAATCTCTGTCCTTCAGTTGGCTAATGCTCAGTCCTCTGTCCTTCAGTTGGCTAACTCTCCAATCTCTGTCCTTTAGTTGGCTAACTCTCCAATCTCTGTCCTTCAGTTGGCTAACTCTCCAATCTCTGGCCTTTAGTTGGCTAACTCTCCAATCTCTGGCCTTTAGTTGGCTAACTCTCCAATCTCTGTCCTTCAGTTGGCTAACTCTCCAACCTCTGTCCTCAGGTTTCCTTGTTTAGGTTTGATGCCTCCCAACATGCCATCAGTGTCACAAGCGCCAGACAGCAGATACAGCAGCAGTACGAACATGTAAGTCATGTGCTATTGGCACCTCCAAATGTGTAAGTCATGTGCTATTGGCACCTCCAAGTGTGTAAGTCATGTTCTATTGGCACCTCCAAGTGTGTAAGTCATGTGCTATTGGCACCTCCAAGTGTGTAAGTCATGTGCTATTGGCACCTCCAAGTGTGTAAGTCATGTGCTATTGGCACCTCCAAGTGTGTAAGTCATGTTCTATTGGCACCTCCAAGTGTGTAAGTCATGTGCTATTGGCACCTCCAAGTGTGTAAGTCATGTGCTATTGGCACCTCCAAGTGTGTAAGTCATGTGCTATTGGCACCTCCAAGTGTGTAAGTCATGTGCTATTGGCACCTCCAAGTATGTAAGTCATGTGCTATTGGCACCTCCAAGTGTGTAAGTCATGTGCTATTGGCACCTCCAAGTATGTAAGTCATGTGCTATTGGCACCTCCAAGTGTGTAAGTCATGTGCTATTGGCACCATCTGTAGCTTGACTTAACTTTAACAGCAATAACTTACGATCATTACTAACATTTTGACAATACATTTTATTTTTTTAGAAGAATATTGGTCTGTTTATCACTAGTTGTATCAGACATGCTAATAACATAACCAAATTTTGAATGGAATAAGAATGGTCTCTGTTTTGTATGGAACAAGTACACACATACTGGAAAACACTAATCCAATGACGTCATGAAATCAGTATTTAGTGTTAAAAATAATTGAGCTAAATTTGTTTTGTCCAGGACACCCTTGGTTTACCTGACAGTTGGCACATTATAAAGGTGTGCAAACCTGGTGCTTTCAACATCACAGGTGAGCCTTATCCTGTGGACTGTTTGTTTCATTTATTTAAATATATATGTTCTCTATTGTATCATCTCTATTCTTCTACCTCATCTGTTATGTAAACTTCAGTGTTTCTATTTAGTCATCTCTATGTTGTTGTACTAAATCATCTCTATGTTGTTGTACTAAATCAGCTGTTCTTGTGTCGAATTTCTCCAGCCATCTATAAACCACTGAGGTCATTTATCAGAGAGGTAGAAGATATTATGCAAACTACCTCAGGGTAAGTTACCTAAATGTAATACGGCAGTTTGGTTCACTTGTGGTCTAGATAGACTGTTGTTGTGATGTTAATGTTGTGGAACCATGATGGTCTAGTTGCTAGTGGTGATACACTTCATGTTTAAGGCTTGTATAGAAATAGTTTAAAACCCATGGGATGGTGAGTTGTGTGTGGAGTTTATCCCTGTGTGTAGTTTATCCATGTGTGGAGGTTATCCCTGTGTTGTAATTTCCCCTTGAGTCATATGCTGGTATAAAAGTCACATGAATGATTGTTAGGACACATTTTGTTAGAGGAACAGGTGGATAAGATGTGGGCATGGAACGTCAAGTTAGGTGGTGATATAGACTCTAGTTGTGCAGATGTTTTGATGATTCAATTAAACTCACTAAAAATGCATTTGCAGACTTCAAGAATTCATCACAGACTTTGTTCAGAATGTTTTTCTTGGCCAAGTTCATAGCAAAGTGTCTGGAAGCATTGACGCAGCAACTAGAGGTAAACAACACATTAGTGAATTGATGCATTTATAGCAGGAATATATTGCCACTTATAGTGAGTTGATGCATTTACAGCAGGAATATATTGTCACATTTCAATTGTATAATTACATAGTATATGTTTAAAATCAACAAGGCAAAAATAATATAAATACTGATACAATAATTTGATTACAAGGAAAAATTTAACTTAATTTTGGTGCTTTATTTTAAAAACTCAATATGCAGTAAGCAGTATAACAACACAATTAAAGCACTTTATTAACATTATAAATTTCAAATATACTTTTTACTAAAATTATGTCTATCCTAATGTTGATGAATAAGTTGCAACAATGAAAAACTTACTTCTTGTGTATGTTACCCAGTGCAAAGAGATGGTGACAGCCACTTGTGTAAGTGAAGTATGGTGGACCAGTATTGCTGGCTGCCTGTTTGTGTTGAGTTGATGTTACTCATGAAACTAACATGCTGTTTCAGTTTTTAATTTATTTAATCCATGGCGCATTTCAAGAGAGTTAACTCACCCACAAAGTGTTTGAAATAACAGCCTGCATTTTCATTGTTAATATTTCAAATAAGCAACCTTAGGTCTAATATTTCACACAAACAACTTTTTCTTGTTCAACATAAAGGTTTGGCCTATTTCTGAGTTGGAAAGAAATACAGTGCTGGTTTTTTATAATTCCTTTACATGTAACACAAATGGGTGTGTGTGTAAACATACAAAATATCAATGTAAAGGCATTATAAAGTCACACTGCAGTGTGAAGTCCATAGCAGTATGGAAACCCATTTTGCAGAGTAAATAAAATATTGGAGTGTTTGGCAACAACTGAAATGTTGAAGTCGTTAGTAGTATGGTAGCCCATTTCACAATTTAACTGAAATCCTGAAGTGTAGTCCATAGCCTTATGGAAGCCGATTTAACAATGTAATTTAAATGTTGGAAGTCCATAGCAGTATGGTAGCCCATTTGGCAATGTAACTTAAATGTTGAAGTCCATAGCAGTATGGCAGCCCATTTGGCAATGTAACTTAAATGTTGAAGTCCATAGCAGTATGGCAGCCCATTTGGCAATGTAACTTAAATGTTGGAAGTCCATAGCAGTATGGCAGCCCATTTGGCAATGTAACTTAAATGTTGGAAGTCCATAGCAGTATGGCAGCCCATTTGGCAATGTAACTGAAATGTTTAATTTTCCACTGTGCTTGCTAGTGGAGGAGGAGGAAGATGGTCACAAGTGTAAGTCTTGGTGTGGTATGTGTTCTAGAGGAGCTTTTCATGTCTCAATGTCACATGGCTCACTGGCAGCTCTTATGTCATCTGTTTCAGTCCTATGCATGTCATATCTGGACATTTGTCTAGAACTATGCTTCCCTCATGTGCTGGATTGCTCTGCATGTCCGTGTGCCACTGGCAGCTGTCACTTGTCTGTAGTGTAACTCTGTCTTTTTGGCCAGACTCCATTTAGACAACTTTAAAGGTGTAGACTCCAGATTCTACCACACCTGTCCTATTTAAAATTGTAATAGTGGTATAAGAAAACTGAGCTAAAAAAAACTGTTTCCATGCACAAGATATATGCACAGTCATGTCATATTTTAGTCATGTCATAATATGCCATCTCATCTAGGCTTCAGTTGTCTCCGTGGTGTGGCTAGGTAGAAGGTTACATCATTTGTCTTACTCAAGTGATGTGTGTGGGGGGATGTTGTGAGGGGGTAGTATAGGTAGGGGACAGACTATAGGTGGCAATAGGTTACCCATATAACAGGGAGATGTGGTCGGAATATAGCCACATAGCTTTTACAGGGAAGATGTGATTGGAATAAGGCCACGTAGGATTTTAAATGGCAGAAAAATTGTAAATGTTGTTAAAAAACTATCATGGTCTGCCTGAGTTGCTTACCTTGTTAGCTAATCAGATTTGCCAGTTTGTCATGTTCTAATGAAAAATTATTTTTGATTTGGCTGACCTATTCTCCAGCAATGTCATCCACTTTTTTCTTCTCTGTTCAAAATGTGCTCCCACTTCTTTTGGTATAAAAAGCAAAGGTTTTATTTTCATTAAGTTTATTTATCAGTGTCAAAATGTTGACTGTGTTTTTTATTGCCTTCCCCATCCATTTAGTTTGTGATCTCATCCACTAGCATGAGTGTTGAAGTTTTGTCCCTTGAGTGTTTACAACATGGTTTGGTGCCTCAGATATTGATGTTATTCATTTCTTTTGAAAAGTTTGTTTTTTGGTTTTTGAAAAAAAAAAAGATTTGTTGTTTTGTTTTAAAATGTTGATGGAGAAGCATGCTGACTCATGCTTGACTATTGTGCTGACTCCTCTTGGCCAGGATTATGACTCATATGTGACCATTACATTGACTCATATGTGACCATTACATTGACTCATATGTGACCATTACATTGACTCATACTTGACAAGTATGATGACTCATACTTGACAAGTATGATGACTCATACTTGACAAGTATGATGACTCATACTTGACAAATATGATACCTCGTACTTGACCAGAACATTGAGTTATGTTTGACCACTACACTGTTCTATTGCTGTGTACCTTGATGTATAAAAATGCTATGTACCCTGATGTATATTATTGCTGACAAAATAGTGGCCCACCAGTTTTCTGTGGCCAGGACTAAATGAACCAGCATGCTTTGATTGAAGGACCAGTGTTTTATATCAGTTTTGCATGATTTGGATACATTTTAAATTTTTAACTTATATAATTTAAAAACTATCGATAATCTTTTTTTTTTTTACATTTTTTCCTCTTGATAAAGTACACGCAGGAAATGGGATTTTCATCTTTTAACTTGTTTTATTACAGCAAGAAATTAGCACATACAAAATTATTTTTTAATTTGTATTCTATGAAGTTTTTGTCAAATGCAGGTTTTGATGCCTTGCGTAATGTAATCGATGAAAAACGTAGAAGAGAATTAGGAGTGCCAAGGCCTTTACTACAAGTAGGTGGTTGTCAGACATCACAGTATGTCTTTGTTTGGACATCACAGCATGTCTTTGTTCGTACAGTGTTGTATGTGTTGGTACAGCACTGTATATCTGTTGTTTCAATTACTGTAGAAGTTTGTCAGATTAAGTGCTGCATTATTCTGTGTTTGTACAGTACTGTGTCTGTTGTCTCCATTACTACAAGTATGTTGTCAGATTTAAGCTAGTGCTGTATTATTCTGTATATCTGTTGTTTCAATTACTGTAGAAGTTTGTCAGATTTAGTGCTGCATTATTCTGTGTTTGTACAGTACTGTGTCTGTTGTCTCCATTACTACAAGTATGTTGTCAGATTTAAGCTAGTGCTGTATTATTCTGTATATCTGTTGTTTCAATTACTGTAGAAGTTTGTCAGATTTAGTGCTGCATTATTCTGTGTTTGTACAGTACTGTATGTCAGCCTTATTGTTTCCACACCCTCCTGTGGGATGTAGTTTAAATGTTGTACAGTACTGTATGTCAGCCTTATTGTTTACACACCCTCCTGTGGGATGTAGTTTAAATGTTGTACAGTACTGTATGTCAGCCTTATTGTTTCCACACCCTCCTGTGGGATGTAGTTTAAATGTTGTACAGTACTGTATGTCAGCCTTATTGTTTACACACCCTCCTGTGGGATGTAGTTTAAATGTTGTACAGTACTGTATGTCAGCCTTATTGTTTCCACACCCTCCTGTGGGATGTAGTTTAAATGTTGTACAGTACTGTATGTCAGCCTTATTGTTTCCACACCCTCCTGTGGGATGTAGTTTAAATGTTGTACAGTACTGTATGTCAGCCTTATTGTTTACACACCCTCCTGTGGGATGTAGTTTAAATGTGTGTGTTGTGTGTTTGTTGCAGAGCACTGTGATAGTGGACAGCTGTATCCAAGAGTTACAGGACCTGATGCACCACCTACCAGACTATGCTGATCAGTTCTTGAATATGATTTGTAATGTGCTCAGGGACTACAGGGAGAAGTGTCATTCTGCATACAGAGGTATGTGGTATATCTAGTACTTGGTTGTTGTCATTATGCATACAGAGGTATGTGGTATATCTATTACTTGGTTGATGTCATTCGGCATACAGAGGTATGTGGTATATCTAGTACTTGGTTGATGTCATTCTGCATACAGAGGTATGTGGTATATCTAGTACTTGGTTCATGTATTCTGCATACAGAGGTATGTGGTATATCTAGTACTTGGTTGATGTCATTCTGCATACAGAGGTATGTGGTATATCTAGTACTTGGTTCATGTATTCTGCATACAGAGGTATGTGGTATATCTAGTACTTGGTTCATGTATTCTGCATACAGAGGTATGTGGTATATCTAGTACTTGTTTGATGTCATTCTGCATACAGAGGTATGTGGTATATCTAGTACTGGGTTCATGTCATTCATACAGAGATATGTGGTATATCTAGTACTTGGTTGATGTCATTCTGCATACAGAGGTATGTGGTATATCTAGTACTTGGTTCATGTATTCTGCATACAGAGGTATGTGGTATATCTAGTACTTTTTTGATGTCATTCTGCATACAGAGGTATGTGGTATATCTAGTACTTAGTTGATGTCATTCATACAGAGGTATGTGGTATATCTAGTACTTACATGATAAAGCCACTGATGTCTCTAACTTGACTGTCTAGGTGTGGTTGGTGTATAGTGAAGACCTATTCTTTGATTAAAACCTCTGATGTCTCTAACTTGTCAAGGTGTGGCTGGTGTATAGTGAAGACCAAGTTCTTTGATTAAAACCTCTGATGTCTCTAACTTGTCTAGGTGTGGTTGGTGTATAGTGAAGACCAAGTTCTTTGATTAAAACCTCTGATGTCTCTAACTTGTCAAGGTGTGGCTGGTGTATAGTGAAGACCAAGTTCTTTGATTAAAACCTCTGATGTCTCTAACTTGTCAAGGTGTGGCTGGTGTATAGTGAAGACCAAGTTCTTTGATTAAAACCTCTGATGTCTCTAACTTGTCTAGGTGTGGCTGGTGTATAGTGAAGACCAAGTTCTTTGATTAAAACCTCTGATGTCTCTAACTTGTCAAGGTGTGGCTGGTGTATAGTGAAGACCAAGTTCTTTGATTAAAACCTCTGATGTCTCTAACTTGTCTAGGTGTGGCTGGTGTATAGTGAAGACCAAGTTCTTTGATTAAAACCTCTGATGTCTCTAACTTGTCTAGGTGTGGCTGGTGTATAGTGAAGACCAAGTTCTTTGATTAAAACCTCTGATGTCTCTAACTTGTCTAGGTGTGGCTGGTGTATAGTGAAGACCAAGTTCTTTGATTAAAACCTCTGATGTCTCTAACTTGTCTAGGTGTGGCTGGTGTATAGTGAAGACCAAGTTCTTTGATTAAAACCACTGATGTCTCTAACTTGTCTAGGTGTGGCTGGTGTATAGTGAAGACCAAGTTCTTTGATTAAAACCACTGATCTCTCTAACTTGCAGACATTGTTCAGCATGGATCTGATGAAAAAAGAATAATTAGTGCAATGTGGGCTAAGGATGAAGACATCAGCAGATTTTTAAGGTAACAACTGCTTGGATCTACTGACTTCATAAACATACTATATAGATGGACTTAATGACCTAACCATCATATCTATAATTCACTAACTTATAGCAAACTTATAGTCTTAAAGCAAATTAACTAACTTGACTCTCTCATTGGATAAATTGATTTTAAATCTAATTAACAGATGACAACCTTTCAGTTAACAGACTTGACAACCTTTCATTTAACAGACTTGACAACCTTTCAGTTAACAGACTAGACAACCCTATATTCAATTGACTGACTTGACAATTCTGTAAACTACACAGACAACCTAAGAAGGAACATAGTTGACAAACTGGTTATGACTAGGCCTCTCTGATTTAGGTCACTTCCCAGCTGGAGGAGCCTACAGCCTCGCCAAGGGAAAGAACTAGATCGCACCATTTGTTCAGAGGAGGAGATTAGGTCCCTTAACTCCAAAGAATCTGTTATTTTAATCAGTAATTTATCTGGAGATGATGCTCTGATCCCTCAGCAGGAGATCATCACAGACGTCACACAGATGAGAACAGTGGCCAACCTTCACGAGAGTCTGGTCAGTACAAGAGAACCTGTTTCCTCATGTAGCCTTAAGTGTTTCATCTTGTTGCTTTCACTGTATCTTACTGTAAGAGTCTGGTCAGTACAAGAGAACCTGTTTCCTCATGTAGCCTTAAGTGTTTCATCTTGTTGCTTTCACTGTATCTTACTGTAAGTAGTTTTAGGGACAGATCTTGAGACAGACTTTGATAGCATCTCTCATGTGTTTGCTAGCATGTGTTTAATGTCTCTATATTGTCATGCAGGAATGGTTTGCAGATCGCCTTGAACAGTTTGCTGCCAGCCTGACCTCACAGAACAGTTTAAATCCTGCCACAGATGAGCTGCCTATGGTGAGTCCAGTTCTATGTTATAGTGCTGAGATTAACTCAGAGAATAGTGCTAAGACCATTTATTTACACCTCAGTGATCTGACAGATACAATAGATATTTCAAAGATTATTTTATGCACATATTTTTATTGCAGGAGCTGCCACCAATCTCTGACAAAACACTTCAGTGAGTTTTTTTTATGGTAGAAAGAAGATAATGAAGAATTTTTATAAATTTGTTCTTTATACAAAAAGGATCAGTAAGAAAACTTCATCGTAAAAATATTATAAAATAATTATGTCTAGATGTTTGTCTAAATTCTTTAAAATTTGTTTTAAACCAGTCAAATCAGATCTGTAAGATTTGTTTCAGATCATTAAAACAGTTGGTCCAAGATTTTAAGGATCTTGCAGAGATTTGTCTGTTGCTTCTTCACCTAGAGGTCAGAGTTCACTGTTTCTATTATCTACTTCCAGTGGCCAAACAGGTAAGCTTTCATATCTTGTTTCTGTGTGACTGTTCTGTGTATCCCTTGTTTATTTTTGCATGTAACAAATCCACAGTCTATAAAAAATAAACTAGTTTTGTGGGTGATTTAACTCGGTTAATACATGGCCTATGTACATTGATTGCAGTCCAATGATTTAACTCAGTTAATACATGGCCTATGTACATTGATTGCAGTCCAACTATGCTGGTCCTATAGATGACCTTGACCCTGACTCTAATGTCCTGAAGCTCAACAAAGACCTAAGTGGCATGGAAGAAATGATGACTCAAAGTTTACAGCCCAAAAAATTCAAGTAATATTATGTTGATTAAGTTATACGGTTACTTTAAAGTCATCAATTAGAAGTCATTAACTATTTAAGTCAAATATCAGGCTATAGTCATCTTCAAATTGTTATCTTAAGTATTGAAGTAAAAAAGTTACCCTTGCGAACCTGGCATTGTATTAGGTAGATCATGTGGAGTTACATGTTGTACACTCTACTGTCCGATTACGTTATGTACATTTATGTACTGTTATAAATCAGATTTTTACTGTAAGTTATTTTAGAGCCAGTTCTATTTTTACTTGAAGGTCTATTTTCTTGACAGTTCTCTTTTTACTTGAAGGTCTATTTTCTTGACAGTTCTATTTTTACTTGAAGGTCTATTTTCTTGACATCTCTAACAGTTTGTCTTTTGTTTCAGGTACATATTTGAGAGCCTGGGTTTTCTTGTGGCCTCCATACTCATCACAAGTGTTCAGTTCCTCAAGAAGATAAACGAGAATGGAATCAAAAAGATGTAAGTAAACATGTTTGTAGTTCCAGCTTTCTGGAACTCTCAAACAGTTTGTTGACAAGATACACTTGTTATCTGTGGCTACCAGATTAAGATATCACAAACTTATTCACTAGCTCATTAATTTAAAAATCAGGCCTAAATCTAGCAAAAGCCTTAATTTTTTATAATAATTCTTACATCTTTTTTTTTAAAAGAAGTTTTTAAAATATCTGCTTTTTTAAAAAAAATTGTTTGTAGAGGTTTTTTTTTTTTAAACAACGAAGATTAAATCAGAAGTGGTTTTTAAATCATGCTAAGAGTAATTTTAAAACTTGAATATTTGGCTATCAACAATAAACAATAATATGAACAATAATATTAAAACTAATTTGAAAAAACAAATTATAATATGCTTGCTGGAAACATTTAAAATAATTTGGTTTCGATCTATAACTGGGCTGAATTTACATAATTTTTTTAAAAAAGGATTAGTACTTAGCTATGAGGGTAAATTTTGTGTTATCAAATTTTCTGGCTTAATATATTTTGACTGTTATTTTCCTATTTCCTATTCTTCTATTTATCCGGGAATTTTTCCTTTATATATATCTGTGTGTATTTCATCATGTTGTTTATCGAATTCCTTTCTTTCTTCATTTCACCTGCTTACCTCCCCTGTTATTGTTGTGTGACTGAAGCATCAAGTCTGGGTGATCACTCAGCCACCTCTCAGCACATTCCTGGAGCTTTGATATGTGCATCAAAGCATACATTATCCTTGTGAATTCTTTTGTGGGGCTGTTATAATGTTTGACTAAATCATCCCCAAGTGCTGTTGTTGGTTCTAGCACAGCTATGTTGATGCTGTTGCTAGTTGTACAGTACCACAGCTTTGTTGATGTTGTTGCTAGTTTACCATAAAACAGCTATGTTGATATGGTTGCAAGTTGTACAGTACCACAGCTTTGTTGATGTTGTTGCTAGTTTACCATAAAACAGCTATGTTGATGTTGTTGCTAGCTGTAATGTACCACCATTATGTTGATGTTGTTGCTAGAAGTACCATAAAACAGCTATGTTGATGCTAGTTGTACTATATCACAACCATATTGATGATGTTGCTAGTTGTACAGTACCACAGCTATGATGATGTTGTTGCTTGTTGTATTGTACCACAGCTATGTTGATGTTGGTTGTACCATGTCTATGTTGATGTTGGTTGTACCACCTGTATGTTGATGTTGGTTGTACCACCTGTATGTTGATGTTGGTTGTACCACCTGTATGTTGATGTTGGTTGTACCACCTGTATGTTGATGTTGATTGTACCACCTGTATGTTGATGTTGGTTGTACCACCTGTATGTTGATGTTGGTTGTTGGTTGTACCACAGCTATGTTGATGTTGGTTGTACCATGTCTATGTTGATGTTGGTTGTACCACCTGTATGTTGATGTTGGTTGTACCACAGCTATGTTGATGTTGGTTGTACCATGTCTATGTTGATGTTGGTTGTACCACCTGTATGTTGATGTTGGTTGTACCACCTGTATGTTGATGTTGGTTGTACCACCTGTATGTTGATGTTGGTTGTTGGTTGTACCACAGCTATGTTGATGTTGGTTGTACCATGTCTATGTTGATGTTGGTTGTACCACCTGTATGTTGATGTTGGTTGTTGGTTGTACCATGTCTATGTTGATGTTGGTTGTACCACCTGTATGTTGATGTTGGTTGTACCACCTGTATGTTGATGTTGGTTGTACCACCTGTATGTTGATGTTGGTTGTACCACCTGTATGTTGATGTTGGTTGTACCACCTGTATGTTGATGTTGGTTGTTGGTTGTACCACCTGTATGTTGATGTTGGTTGTTGGTTGTACCACGTCTATGTTGATGTTGGTTGTACCACCTGTATGTTGATGTTGGTTGTACCACCTGTATGTTGATGTTGGTTGTTGGTTGTACCACCTGTATGTTGATGTTGGTTGTTGGTTGTACCACGTCTATGTTGATGTTGGTTGTACCACCAGTATGTTGATGTTGGTTGTACCACCTGTATGTTGATGTTGGTTGTACCACGTCTATGTTGATGTTGGTTGTACCACCTGTATGTTGATGACGTTGTTTACCTCCCCCAGGTGTCGCAACATACTGGCCATCCAGCAGAACTTGACCAACATAACTTTAGCCAGGGAGTCAGACCTGGATAGGGCCAGACACTTCTATGAGCTGTTGTACCTCAACCCTGATGTAAGTAGCTGCTGCTCTTGTTACTGGGGGGTCATGCCGACTTCCTAGGTTCATGGTAGACTTAAATGTGTAGTTTAAACATAGCATTATAAATATAGGTCAATGGTATTTTTATATCTATAAGTCAATGGTAGCCTTATATCTGTAGGTCTATGGTAGCCTTATATCTGTATGTCTATGGTAGCCTTATATCTGTAGGTCAGTGGTAGCCTTATATCTGTAGGTCATTAGTAGCCCTTTATCTGTATGTTGATGGTACCTTATATCTGTAGGTCTATGGTAGCCTTATATCTGTAGGTCATTGGTAGCCCTTTATCTGTATGTTGATGGTAGCCTTATATCTGTAGGTCGATGGTAGCCTTATTTCTGTAGGTCAGTGGTTGCCTTATTTCTGTATGTCGATGGTAGCCTTATATCTGTAGGTCTATGGTAGCCTTATATCTGTAGGTCTATGGTAGCCTTTATATCTGTAGGTTGATGGTAGCCTTATATCTGTATGTCGATGGTAGCCTTCTATCAGTGAATGGTATATTTGTTATGAGCAGGATTTGATCAACTCAGTAGCCGAGAAAGGTCCCCAGTTCAGCCTGAGTGAGTACAAGGAGCTCATCCAACTCTACCATCGCAGCTTTGCTGGCAACCCTGTCTCCCTTCAAGACGCCAGGATGCAGCGGCTCCACAGTGTCATGGAGAAAGGTCAAGATGAGACCTTACAGTGATACCAAGGTCAAGGTTACAGCTGTGCTTATAACTTTCTTACTTTGTCTAGCCTATTGCAAATGTGGATGTAAAACTGGAGATGTGGTTGTAAATATAAACGTGTAGAGTCATGTAAATTGTAAACTTGAGGATTTGGTGTAAATAAAATTTTGTCTTAATGCTCCATTGTTATTTCCTCACCCACGCCCCTCACACCATAAAATTGTGGTTGTGTGACATTTAAAATGTTTAAATTAGAGCGCCACATGCCGGTAGTATACTATAGCTGATTAAACAACAGCTGTCATTTGGGTTATACACACACCCATCCCCGTCCCCCTCCCCTCCACGAACACCCCCACTGTTCAAGCACCTCCCTCCTACTTTTATAGGCTGCGCGGTGAACTTGAGGCTGTTGGTTGGTGGTATGACCTTTTGACCCAGTGAATTGCTTTGTTCAGCGTGGATTATTGAAATATGTAACTTTAATACGTTTTAAGTTGATTGTAGGTTGTTGTTGTTTTTTTAACTAGAGCAGTGGTCTCCAAACTACGGCCCGCGGGCCAGATGCGGCCCGCGAGGTCCTCTCAACCGGCCCGCGGAATAAATGTTTGTTAGAGGTGGCTGAGAAACTACCGCCCAGAAAATTCAATACAATTTGAAAATTTAGCTTTGGGTGCTAATACCATTGCCCGCCGTGTTGCAGACATCGGTGAAAACATCGTGACTCAAATAGCGAAAATGCAAGCATTTGCATACGAGATCATCAAAGACTTCAAGCTGCAGTTTCAGTAGCGGTTTTTTGACTGTTTCAAAGGCAGAAAAAAGTGAGACTGTTTCAGAACCCATTTGAAGGAAATGTTGCCATTTGCAAAGATGAACTGCAGCTTGAGGTCATTAGAGACACGTTCAAAGAAGGGCGGGTGGGTTTTTATAAGTTTTTGTCTAATGAAGATTTTCCTAATATTAAAACTTTTGCATCAAAGTACCTTTCAAATTTTGGAACAAGATACCTGTGTGAACAAATATTTTCAAGATTGAAATACGTGAAGAACAATTTGAGAGCAAACTGGGACCTCGAGTGTGATTTTGGCCACCGACAGTGTTTCTTTCAGACTTTTTCCTCGGGGGGGGGGGGGGCACTTGAAATGTTTATATATTTCTATAAAAATTATATTTCGTTAAGGGGGGGGGGGCGCTGCCACCCCGAATAGATGAAACTCTGGCCCCCGAACTGATATTTGATAATTAATGCGGCCCTCGGGCTGAAAAGTTTGGAGACCCCTGAACTAGAGCATGAAGGGTCAACGTGTTGAGAGGTCTTCATGAGAGAGGAAAGAGTTTTGTTAAGAAATTATTAGACTTGACATGTCATTTATCGGGCCAAAAGTTTGGCCAAAAATTCACGTTTCAATGTATTTTCTTGTAATTTAATGTTTAATTTCCACCTTAAAATCATGGAAATACTTAGAACTGTGGGGGGGGGGGGGGGGGGGGGGTTGGGCAATGTCCGTGGTGTGAATTGGGTTGTGTCATCCGTGGGGGAGGGGGGGGGGTCGGTTGGGCTATGTGCAGTGTTCCCTCTAAGCTGCGCGGCTGCGCGGCCGCGCAGCACTTTCAAATGTGCCGCGCAGTCATTTTCTGATGCCGCGCACAGATTAACAGAACGTCGGGCAAGCTTAATTCACTAGAAAACTTGTGGCCAGTGGCTTGAATTAAGCGACATTTTTAGTACCTGTTTTGTTAAACGAACAGTCTTTGTGTTTTGAGGCCTCGACCAAACTGATACTTAAAGCTTGTGACCCCTGGGGGAGGGGGTGACCTCGGTTGTCATACCACAGGTCTAGTTAATGACTTAACTCTCAACTGAGCGGGGCGGGTACCGATGTGATGTCTGGGTGACCTTCCCTCTGCTTGATTTAATGGTTTACCCCAAAACTGACCGTAAAAGGGATTGTGGCTAGTAGCTGACCATGCAAGGTTTTATTTTCTATTGTCACTGCCCTCCCCCATCTCCCAACCCCACCCACCTCCTTGATACTATGACGGTTTATCCAAGTCAGATGCAAATTCTAGGTTACTTAAGGTGGATGTGTTTTACTCTGTTTGGTTTAAGGATTTTTATACTGTATATCCAATTCTTGGGATTATTACGTGCACCTGGATCGAACTGTTTCAGTATTCACAGACTGGTTTAGTAAATAAGGAATAAAAGTTTACTACTCAGTGCTTTTTGAAAATGTTGAAAAGAAAAATGTGTGTAACAAGCGGTAAAACAATGCAGCAAAAAAAAGCGAGAGATTCGTTTAAACTGGAATGGCTCAAAGTTAAAGTAACAAGCGATACGCCAGATTCTAAGAATGTTTCAGTTGAATTAAGAAGCATCTATGAATATTTAGTTGAGATTGGACTGAAGTGTAAGTTCTGTGCTGCTAATACTTGTAAAAAAACCAACAAAGACAACGAATTTGTCACAGGAAAGCGTTGGGAATCATGGAAGCTTGACTACTGTAAACGTCATTTGTCTCGTGTTCACGAAGAAAATGTTGCGATTTTGTACACCCGCTCAAATGGGACTGGCCTTAAAAGTCTGCTGGTTGAAACTAACAATGAGCGAGAAGAACGAATTGAACAACATGAGCGCCAGCGTTCAAACGAGGATCAAGTTCGAATTCTAATGGATAATGTTCTTCTCGCCATTCGGATGAACGCCTCGATGCTCTCGGTACAACTGATTCATAACCACATGGTGAAGTATGTTTCTATACCAGACAGTTGGCAGAACTTCGTGTAGCATCGTTCCACACGCTTATAGTTGATGAAAGTACTGACATAACAGTACATATAATGCTAATCTTTTATTTTAAATTTCGTCCAGTCAATTCTTTATTCTACAAAACCGTTTTTGGTGGAATAATTCAGCTTACCGCATGTGGTGCCTCAGCTCAGCCATAACACAGTACTACACTGAACATCAACTTGACATGAACCGCATGGTAATGATAAAATCAGACTGGGCATTGGTTATGTTAGGCCGTAGGAAGGGATTAGCTGCTTTACTGAAGGCTAAGGTCCCCCATCTTGTTGAACAGCACTGTGTTGCTCATCGATAAAACTTGGCACTTTCTGATGCTTGGAAAGATGTTAATTTGTTTAAAAATATTGAGGTTCTCTTACGCACATTTTACACTTTATTTAGTCGATCTTCGGTTAAAAAGGGCGCACTTGAAGAATTGGCCAAGATGCATGATATGGATGTAATTTCTTTTTGACCAATTGATGAAGTTCGTATTCACTTTTCTGTCAGTGCTTTGGTTAGAAATCTTGATGTTTTAGCTGCCTACTGTGAAGAACAAGTCCAAGACTGCAATGATCCTGTTTGTTGTTATGTTTTGAGATCTTTAAGAGATCCCCTGTATCAAGTTGCTCTGTATACCGTTAATGATGTATTAACTGAATTAGCTAATCTATCAATGTTGTTGCAGCGAAGTAATTTATCATCTATTGAAGCACATCAATTTTGCATTTCTAAAATACGCAAATTAGAAGCACAATACCTGAGTGAAGATGTATATTGGAATGATAAGCAAAGAAAATTTTGAATGAAAACGTAGGAATCGACACAAGACAAATCACACAGTTTATACGATCGGTCTGCGATCATTTAAATGTAAGGTTTCAAGGAGATGAATTGCAGTTTTCGTCAGCTTTTGATCATACTGGTTTAAAAAAATTGTGCATTTGAGTTTGACGTCAAAGAGATCAAAGAACTGTGCGTAAAGTACAAAGACGTATTACAAACAACAAATGAAGAGTCAATTATCACGCAATACAATGACTTCAAATTTCAGATCAGTGAAAAACTCAAATCAGGTTCAGTAAATTCACTAACTGAAATCGCAGGAGTTACTTTAAACGATGAACAATTTAGCTCATTGACAAAGTTAATTGACATATGCTGTACTTCTCAAGCATACAGCGCTGATTGCGAGCGAGGTTTTAGTCTTATGAAAAGCATTAAAGTGCAAGCACGAAATAGACTTGAAGTCACACATTTGGAGAATCTAATGCGAATTAAATTATATCTAAATGCTGGAGAGGATGTGGATTTAAACAAAGCATATAAGGTGTGGAAGCAAGGCAAGGTTAGGCGCGAGAAATTACAATAAATGCCCCTGAAAGGTTAGCTAATTTTGTTTTCAAGTCAGCTTTTTAAAATGGTTAACATGTTAAACTGTTGTATTTGTATTACCGTTATGGTATTAACATTATTAACATATGATTGCATTACACTAACATAGTAAGTCGACCATATAACATGTTGTCTAAGTATAACTCTGAAACTTTCTGTTGTGTATTTTATTTTATTTTGATGGGATTCGTATCTTCTTTTAATTGCATACGTTTCACTAGTCCTACACATTATACTATTAATTTATATCAAAATGCATGCCTTCATTACTCTGCTTAATTGCAAGCCTAAACATACATATTAACTTGCCCAAGTCATTTTTAGCACCGCGCACACAACATATTTTTTGCACACACACTCTGGGTCCTTAGAGGGAACATTGGCTATGTGTCGTCCATGACATGGAGAACATCTCCCGGTTCAAGACGATTTTTACGTCGCTGTCGTGTCCTCCCTTCCCCCCCCCCCCCCCCCCCCCCCCTCTTACATCGCTTTGTGTGGCGTCGATTTGTGAAAAATAATCTTTTTTTAAGATGGCCGGTTACATATTTACCTTCAACAAGAACGTCTGATCTCTCCCAGATGTGTTTTGACTTTAAGCGTAATTACAACCACTTAATCACTTAATGTCAATAACCAATTAACGAAAGAGCTTCTGGTCGTTAATGGCAGGGTGATCTCACCGTCAAAAGAAAAAAAAACCGCATGCACCATGGAAAAAATGTATCACCTTAATATAACAGATTTTTTTTCTTGTCTTATTGAAAGGCCTCGTAGTATATCAGGTTATGTTGGTTTTTATTTCGTTTACAAATGCATGTATTGTATATTGCATCTTCAAAGATAAAACTCCTAAAAATAACTTCTTTTTGTTTTGGGTCAAGGTCAACAAACTGAACTAGACGCCAAACTGGAGGGAACCTGCAATCTTTTTTTTATAAAAAGTTCATTCCTGAACATTTTTATTGTATGTGAGCGTGGTTGCATAT